TATATATATATATATATATATATATAGGTAGAGGATCAAATGAGGTCATGTTTCTATATATATAGCTTATTTTTGGGCATTACAAAAATCAATTACCATTTTTTATAATATAATAAAAAATAAAAGTTTTAATATAACAAATGTTGGGCCAATACATGATCATTTTTTTTTTTAAATTTCTGGTCCAAACCTAACCCATTGCTACAACCCAATACCCAAAACCCACTAAACCCAAATATAAAATGAAGTTTCCAAACCCTAATCGGGTTGAGACTGACCATTTGTCTTCTTTCTAGCCTACTGCACCATGCCTTCTCTCTAACCATGTCTGAAGTATATTCTTCTCCTTCGCTATTCTTAGTGAATTTTTTCGTTATTTCATTTGATTTTAGATGAAATATTATAGTTTTCAAAGTTGATACCATAGTGCCGATTTCTTTACCCCCTCTAGAACTACGCCAATAAAATGATTTGATAACAAAGCCCATATATGCTCTTTTTATCAAAAAATCTCAGTTTTCAGGTGTTAAGTTAGGAGTAACGACCACATAGAAGTAAACAAGACCAAAAAAGGAAGGATGTACATAAAGTTAAGTTGATTTCACCATTTCTTATTTTTTCATATTGAATCTATAATGTATGTCAACATTTTGTAGCAATATTTTGTCTTCTTTTATTGCTATTGCTATTGCTATTGCTATTGCTATTGCTATTACTACTACTATTACTACTACTACTATTATCACTATTATCATTATTATTATTATTATTATTATTATTATTATTATTATTATTATTATTATTATTATTATTATTATTATTATTATTATTATTATAAAAAAACGAATAGGTGGCTCAACTAGGATTTCTTTTGATATAGTCCAAAACAAGATATTATTGAGAAATCAGTAGTTTATTTTTAAGGATCTCGGTTACCATATACATTCATTAAATATCTTGAATATTTTAATTTCACGATTACTTAGCTAAAAATAATTTATATGGAATATTAAATAAGGAGATTCAACATAGAGTACTTAAATTTGTAAAATTAATGAAATATTTCTACTCGTTCATATTGAGGATACAATCTAGCAAGTTGGATTTAAAAAAGGTATAGCAGTGATGAGGATAAATGCTTACTGGTAAGATAAAAAATAAAAAAGTTAGATGGTATGAGAATACCTTTATTTGACGTGATTTGCTTTCTCTTGCCCCCTATAATTGTTGAGTCAATGATTTTCCTCATAGTGTTGTTTTGATATCTTATAGTAGTTTAATTACTGAAATAATGTTTATAGTTTGTTCACTAATTCTAAATCTTGTTTATTGATTATGAATGGGTAGTTTAGATATATTTAAAGAATAAAACATTAATATCTAATGATGTTATGCAACTTGACTATTGAGTTTTTATTGAAATGAAGAATGTGAGCTACTTTCTTTGTCAATAAATGAGCATGTTTCTCTTGTTTGGACAACAAATGATTAGTTTTAATTTACAAGTTTATCAATATTAACTAACATTTTGATAATACCGACAAACTTTGAGATTTGTAGTGTTGCATATTCAGTGTATGGTCCTTTTATTTATTTTATTCCATATAATTGAATGGATGGAATGTTTGAATATTTCAGATTTTATTTGTTCTAAATGTATTTATGAATTACAAAGTTTTGAAAATAAATATATTTTTGAAGGTAAAATTATTTACATTATGTGAATTAAGTAAACTACTTAGGAATAAGAACATACTTAATTCAAAAAATTAAAATTGAAATTAATTCAAAATTAATTCTTTCCAAAATAGTACCCAAAAAGTACACTCAGAAGGTTACACCCGAAAATTGAAATCAACTTTGTGGTAAAAATCAAAAAGTAAAACTTTACTTCTCTGTCAAAACCAGTTTGTCTGAGAAGTTGTGGTCCAACATTCCACCAGAAAGTGGAATTGCATCCAGTTATCGACGGAATATAACCTAGACCCACTAAGTCACTTCTCGGACAGTGACTCTGGTTGGAAAATTTTTACAAAAAGTTGGCATAACGTTTAACGGATGCACATGAGTCAAGCCTTTTCATAATCATTTTGGGATTTGATTTACACTCCCTAAGAGGGAGAGATAGAGACTCTAAGTTATACAATTCAAACTCCCTCTAAAAGGGCATTGTATATATACTAGTGCAAACCACTTTCCTTTTCAATGTGGGGCAAATGCTTCTTACAAGCCTTTTCCACATTTTTTAAAAACTCAAATAGATCTACTTTGAGACTCAAATTCTCATTCATCCATCATCCGTTTTGGTCGTACAATATATCCATTTTTTCGTCTCACTTCGAAGAACCCGAATCCATTTTAACCATACATGAATCAGAATTCAAAAGTATTGATATTTGTACCACAAAATAGTCACTTAACATGTAATTTTGTTGGTCATGAAGGGTTGTGTTACAAGTTTAGAGGGGGGACGAGGGGGATGAATAGACTTGTACCGAATTTGAAAATTCTTTACTGTTTGAGATTCTAGACTTAAGTTAAAATAACTACTCGTAAAGTCTTTTGGCAATGGAAACGTGAACCCTTTTAGTTTTAAGCACAAGTTTAGACTTGATAAATTTAGGTTTTATACGTTAAAACTTTAATGAAAATGCGGTAAGAGAGAGAGAGAGAGAGAGAGAGAGAGAGAGAGAGCGATTTTTGAAGTAGTTCGGCTATCAACCAGTCTACGCTTACTCATCTCCAAAAACTCCTTGGAGGATTGTAGTAAAAAAACTCCTAGTACAATGAATAACACTAGAGCCTTGAACACAAAGTCGACCACTAGCTTCTAGGTTACTCACAAGTCTTAACTTGTTACTCCACCTCTTTCTACTTCAACCGAGTAGAGTTACAAAAGGTTTTCAACAAGGTGAATGTTGATCCTCCAACTGATAGACATGAATCTTGATTTCTGACTTCTCGTTGCCAAAGTCTTCTCTCACTGGTCACTAATTTTCTTGGCACTTGGATCGATTGAACACTTATGATTTCTCACTTGATTGACCAACACATTCTTCAGTCTTGATTGAAGGTATTTATAGGGCCTGTTTGAAATTAATCCGTTGGAGGGAGATAAATTTTCAAATGTCTTTTTACCCTTGGTTATTAACGAATAAGATTTTCCAACCGTTTAACACGCCTTTACCTGCTCCATTATACTTTTTGCTTTACACCTTTTATATAGGCTTTTAAGAAAAATCTACCTTGGAAGGTGTACCTAAGACTCATTTGTCTTGGTAACATTACACATAAAGTTACTGACTTTTTAAGGATACGAACTGTTTGCTTAAAGAATGTCTTGAACAGTTCTTTCTAGTGGTCAACTCTTTCCTTTTGAGTTAACGCTTTGAGCCTTAAGCTTTTATAACCTTTCGTTCAAATAGTTGTCCTTGCTATTCGACACACTACAACTCGACAAGGTTGACCCTCCCACTATTCGGCTATTGCTACCTTTTAGTCTTCAATTCATCTATTCTTTGATTCTTAAACTCTTCGGCTCTTCGTTTTGAACTCTTCGCAGCATCAACTATTCGTAGTTCATTGACTCCTCGCCTGAGAGCTTGGTTGACTGTTCAAATTGTAACTGTTTGTATTACAATTCGTACTCCTCAAAATTATTCACTCTGGATGAAAATTTCTAAGTCTAGAAAGAGTACAACAAATTGGGGACTAAAATTTCGTAAGTCATTTGGTATCAGCAAAATCTAATTTACACTTGTTCTTAACACATTTTACACTATTTTTTCCAACAATCCCCAACTGAATACAAAATTGATTTTTGCGACTGTAAAATGACAGGACTATGTTCAACGGTCGATTCCTGTATAGGGTAGGTAGGTGTTACCCTTTGAACCTTCCCTTGTGAATATATATTTACTCTACTGGTTGTCTGGTAGAACGTGGTGTCTTTGAACCGTATTGCTGTTTGTGTAGACGATGATAAACCTCACACAAGAACTTGAATTCACTTTGACCTGATCGAAATCAAAAGTGGGTCCCATTGATATTTATACTACAAAATAATCACTTAACATGTCATTTATACTATTTTTTCCAACATCAAATTTGAATCACATCTCAATCAGAGTTGGCATTACAATTGAATAGATACTATTTGTAGGTTAGACTGTATTAAAAAAAAAAATCTTCTATCCTATAAATTCTTCACGATTTTGTCCTCTTTCCAAAAATATACAAGTATTTTTAACTAAATAATTAGTATATAGAGTTATCTAATTATGTAAAACTTACATATTACTATCATCCGGTCAGTAAAGCCGTGCATGTCGTGATAAGTTTTAGAGCATCCACAATGGTGGAGTTATTTGAAGAGTTATTGTAAGAATAATTAGGAAAGAGAAGATGGTGGGAGAGAAAAAAAATCAAAATTGATTTTAAAAAAATAAAAAATGTTTAAAACAGTGTCAGACGACGCGCCCGGGCATGTGCATTGCATGCACCCGATTGGGCTTCTGCTGTGCGCAAGACGCGCACAGCTGCTCCACCTTCCTCATCCCTGCACTGTTCAAATCTTCCGAGTCTTTACAGAAGGGACTGAAATTTCTCTCTCTCCATTTCTCTTCCCTCCAACTCATCAAACATTGTACTATTATCCCCAAATAAACCACTGATAAGGTTGCCACATCACCACATGATCCCCCTATATAATGAATTTAGATTTATATTTTAAATTTATTTATTTACTATAAGATACGGAGTATAATTTTGTTTTAAAAAACTCCATTTATTCTCTTTAAAAAATTTTACTTGCATAAACGACGCCGTCTTTACCAACCCCTGTCTCATCTGTTCTGCGTGGGTGCTCTAAATTGAAGTTTCATCATTTCATGCACTGAAGAGACATATAAAGCGAGGGAGAGAGTGCGATATGCACTTTCCCTGCCACAATGCGTTCCCTAAAGCCCTAAACCCTAAACCCTAAACCCTAACGAGTAAACCCTATTTTCCCCATTATTTCTTTTACGTTTCTTCACTTCCGTCTCTCTACACTGCGCTTCATATACACACACGCCTACACGGACACTAATCGCAGCTTTTCTGTTTGTGTAAATTTCGGATTGAAGGTGTGCGCGTGTATGCATACATAATCAATCTGCGGTCCTTCTGAATAAATTCCTGTTTGTGCATAAATTCCTGTTTGTGCATGGATTCCTGTTTGAAAATCCTTATCAGGATATCTGTCAGGGTGATGATAGAGTAGATTCTCATGTTATAGTAGTACTTAGATTTACATGGCTAATTTGATCTACTGTATTTTGCTATTAGGCTTAGTTCTTGAAATGTACCTGTCCAATGAGGTTAAGTGCATCTATATTGGTTAGCATGATGTAAATTTGTTGATTGTAGTGGCTTTGAATAGTATATTTCATCTAAATCATTTTTTGTGCTAACTAATCTTGGAATTGTTTGGGCATTTGAAGAGCTTACGAAGAAGGCATAGATAGATACTTATCAAAGAAAAGAAGGGAAAATTAAATAAATAAAAAAAGATGATCAGGTTGACACTGGAAGATGGGATGAATAGATTGGAGGATGGCATTGCCAAAGCGTTGATGATAATGGATGGTTACACTGCTAGTGCACTGTTTAGTTCAGAGGAATACATGAAGTATTATGAGTATCCTTTTCTGCTTGCTGGTACTTTGTTAGATGTACACTGAAACATACACTTCTATTTTAAATTGGCTTTCTCGTATCTGTCCTAGTATCATTAATATGCTCTCTAATTTTGCCAATTACTGAAAAACTATTTTTGAGTGTTTGGGATGTGTAGGAACTAATCAGCTTTAAATTATGGGTTTTTGACTGAAATGGAAATAGACATAGGTTTATTGAAAATAATAGAAATGAGTTTTTTTTTTTTTACAAAAATAGGAAAACTGAGTTTGGGAAACGCGGTTGGGCTGAAAACCGCATTTCCCAAGCTCGGTTGTGGCTGAAGGCCACGTCGCTAACAGCCGCATTTGAGAAATGCGGCTGTAGTATAATATACGACAACTGCGTATCTCAAATGCGGTTGTCGTATACACAAAAACGCATTTGGGAAATGCGGCTGTCGTATATTATACGATAGCCGCATTTCCCAAATGCGGATATGATTCCGATTTCCCCGGAGACTTCCGATTTCCGATTCCTTTCACCTTCCAACCGAGGTGGGCTTATGACAGCCATGGTTCTATTATGGGTCTTCATGGGCATATTTGCAGGCTACTCCTCATCACGTCTATACAAAATGTTTTGGGGTACAGAGTGGAAGAGGATTACCTTGAAAACTGCTTTCATGTTCCCTGGAATTCTTTTTGCAGTATTCTTTGTACTTAATGCTCTGATCTGGGGGGAGAAATCTTCTGGAGCTGTTCCATTTGGAACCATGTTTGCGCTAGTTTGTTTATGGTTTGGGATTTCAGTGCCATTAGTGTTTGTGGGTAGCTATTTGGGTTTCAAAAAACCAGCCATTGAAGATCCAGTAAAGACAAACAAGATACCTAGGCAAATACCCGAGCAGACACGGTACATGAAGCCGGCCTTTTCAATTCTTATTGGTGGCATCCTTCCTTTTGGAGTTGTTTTCATTGAGCTGTTCTTCATCTTGACTTCCATATGGCTTAACCAGTTCTACTACATATTCGGCTTCCTTTTCATAGTCTTCCTCATCCTACTGATCACATGCGCAGAGATATCCGTGGTGCTATGCTACTTCCAATTGTGCAGCGAGGACTACAATTGGTGGTGGAGGGCCTATCTCACCGCCGGTTCTTCAGTTCTCTACCTTTTCCTCGGAAATCGGAAATCGGAAATCGCTGGGGAATCGGAATCATATTCGCGGCTATCGTATAATATACGACAGCCGCATTTGGTTTTTGTGTACATGGATGGTTGTGACAAGATTTGACGAGGAATATAGGTTATGTTTTTGACAGGTTTACCTCTTAATCACTGAATGTAAATTTCTTGATGGATTCAAAAATAAAAAATGGGACAATTAGAAAAGTTGAAGATAAATATGGGTGAACAATCATATTTATAGACGTTGTTGTTACCTTGCTGCTGTCTTATATGGCATCTGCCATAGTGACAGCAAAAATCTAAATGTTGCAAGTTGATTTTTTGACAATTCTCTTGTGAGATATCTTTAACATTTCAATATTTCATAGTTGTGTTTATCTTTTGTGCGTTCAACCGCCGCCAAATGACTACTCATGGCAGCTTCATGAAAGATTTAAGAAAGCTTTGGAAGAAAGTATTTTTTTAAAGGTGAGACATTTTTAATCTTGATATGTAATGATATTGCTTTTATGCATCTTCAGTGAAATTTGAATGCTTTGTTTGCTTAAAGTAGTTTACATTTTGATTTATTTTCTTGTTTGTTAAATATCATGTTTAATTTTTTTCTTTAAAAGAATTAAAGAATAATATTAGTATTTGCAGCATATTTTCATTTAAAGCCAGTGCATCTTAGCTTTCATAATCTTATAACAATATTGCTGGAAAACAATCTGTAATGTCAGTGCCACTTTGTTAGTGCTAGATGTGTTTGTGTTTCTATCCGGAGAGTATTTGTTTAAAGCACAAACTTTTCCAACTGTGCACAAAATCCTTTAATCAGTTATGTTGTCTTCTTGTTAACAATCATCTCATAAATTTTCATTTTACTTGTAGGTTTTGCCATCCCTAAGTGATAAAAATGGAGCTCCCCTGTTATCTGAACTTCGACGTTTATGGGCAAATTATAAATCAATGGTGAAATGCCTTGGGGGATTTTACTTGTACCTTGATCAGAGGTTTTCTGACCGCGAAACTGCTGCACCCCTTTCTGAAATTTCAGTTTGCTGTTTCCATGACTTGGTGGGTACTTTTATATACTGTTGTATTCTTTCAAATTCCTAATGGGCCTTGTTTTTTTGGTCAATCATTGCTTGATTTATTTCTCTATTTCAGGTCTGTACTGCTTTCCTCCAAAAATTTATAGATGCTGCTATATTACTGGTAGAGTTACTTAACTGCCTATTTAGTAGCATGAAAATTTTTCTATTTTACAACTCCATACTCCTAAAGTGGGCCAACTTGAAAAAAAAAAATCCTTACTCCACTATCCACCCATATTTTCTAGTTTTCCAAATTGGAAAAAGTTTTCAAAATGTTCTCCAATTTCCAAAAAGGAAAAAAAGGGGAAAATGGAAAGCAAAATCCACTTGAACATGAACACTTTTTTTATCATTTTTCCAGAAAGTTCACTGAATGCATAATGTTTCCAGTTTCAAATTCATTATATCATTAACACAACTTGATCTGACTAGTGAAAATATTCACATATAGATCACACAAGACCGCAATGGGCAGCCAACTGACCAGACCTTTCTACAGAGTCTTTCAAACTTTTTCACTGAAGTTGGAGGGAAAACAAGACCATTCTGCTATAACAAGTTTGAGGAGGCAATACTTGTTGACACAGGCAATTACTACTCTCAAGTAGCTCCAGAATGGCTACTGAATTATTCTTCAGCAGAATATGCATCTAAGGTTCATATGCTTTATGTATTATTTTGTCATGCTTAAGTCATATTCCTTTCATATGTTTTCGCATTAAAAAACCATGAGAAGTATTTTAGTTTCCTCCATGTCTGGATTGGGGGTTCTTTTTTTAATTTTTAGGCTGAACAGTGTTTGAGGGAGGAAAGAGGAAGAGCATGCAAAATTTTGCATCCACCTGGAGTAGAGAAGCTTCTACAGGTATTTTAATTGATTCATATACTTGTCCAATTTCTGGTCTTGTAATGTTAGCTGAGTCTTTGTTTAAAATAAACACTGTACTACCTCTAATATTTTTTTCTGGAGTTTTAGCATTTGTTCTTCCAGAGCTTCCTCTCTTTATATTCTAATAGTGATTTTACAAAGTTCAATATTTTGCTGTTATTTGTCCTGGGTTGCTTTTCCAGTAAGAAAATGTGGCTTTTTCAGATTGTGCACTGGAAGTTGGTTGGTGAAATTACAAATCAATTGATTGAAAAGCAAAATGCTGAGAATCTTGATGCATCAAGATATAAGGTTTCCTTCAAATCTCTCCTGAAACCCCAACCCTCTCTCCCCCTCCCGTCTAGAAAATTCTGTCTGGCCACAAGGAAATAGATGTGTGTGTGTGTGTATATATATATATTATTTTGTGTTTTTGGTTCTCATTTAATATGCCTTACATTTACATTCTAGTGAAATAAAGAAAGAAAATTTCATCTTATTATGAAGAATTTAGATGTTGTGGTTCAACATTTAGCATTACCTTCCTACAAAATATGGATTATCTTGCCTTTTACTCTGTATCTCATGCTTCCAAGATTCCAAAGAACTTGCATTGATTTCCAATTCCTCCATTCCACTATGGTAATGTGTGATTCTGGATGACGAGGGAAACCGCGCAACCCTTTCAAGTATGAGTAAACCCCGCCTTGGGACCTTAGCTGGCAAAGGATCACAAGGAAGTAAACCAATCTAGGTTACCCATAGTTGACCTGCTCAAACCAAGAGGGCAAGGATTTGAACTCGTGACCTTGTGGTTACAAGTGTGGATCTCTTTCCATCTCCCGTAATGTGTGATTTTGTCTCCATGATTACATGTTTCATTCTGTTTGTTTGTTTGTATGGCAGGGAATACTTGAGCAATGTTCCAAATTAAACATTGGGTAATGAGTGGTGGATAGAATTGTTGTGATCGTGTGACTTGCTCGCGTTCTCAACATTGGAAAAATACAACATTCAGAGACCTCTAGTCTAACTCTCTAAGTACTAACAATAGTGATCCGCTTAATACATTTACACACCTATTGTTTCATTGGACTTATGAAAGAGTTTTGTGTAGCTTTTTTGAGCTTACTCCTTGCATTTGTAAGTAATATCATTTCATAGTACGATGTGTCCATAACACAATTAAGTGACAACATTTTGTTGAGCAATCCAACCAATTTGTAGTTTCCCATCATTTAAGATGGATGGTTTAGATTAGTCTACATTTTTCACGGGTTTAGCTCCCATAAAAATTATGTCTTAGGTGAGAACTGTGGTATAATTTGGACCATTAAAATTAAGCGATGGTCCAATTAAAGATACTATTAGCATGATATAATAGGAAATATATGGCAAGGCAAATTAGTCTACCCATAAGCAGGATTGGTCCAAACATTTTATAAGATCGGGAAAAATTAAAATTAAAATTTAGTAATGCTAAAAAAATGATAATATCAAATAACAAGAAATAAGATTAAAAAAATTTTAATCAATAACAATTCCTAATTTCATGACCTACAACAAGTACCTAATCTGCTCTGCAATTCCTAACAATAAAACAATACGGCATTCAGCAAGGCCTGAGGGCGGCGTATTACAAATTTGTAATTGCAATTGCATCATAGTTTTTAAAAAATCCCCAAATTATAAAATACCTTTGTAAATTGCAATTGCAGATTATTGAGATTAGGTCAGCGAACTAGAGAGTGGCGAAGGCCGAAGGCGAGGGTGCGAGGCAGAAGGCGGCAAATTGGAGAGTGGCGAAAGTGAGGCAGAAGAATATATATGTATGACATGGTGATCCTAATGGTTGTTACTCCGTTAAGAACGGCTACAGACACATTGTTAGAAATTATGGGAATAATAGTAATGGGACCTTTGATAAATGGCTCACATGGAAAATTAAATCCCACCTAAATGGAAAACCTTTTTATGGAGAGCTATAAGTGATACATTTCCCACTACCAACAATTTGCTTATAAAGAGGGTAGAGGTTGATCCGATGTGTGCCATGTGTGGGATCTCTAGTGAGGACACTATGTGTAACACCACGTGTTACGGCCTTCGTATCCGGACTAATTACGAAATTAATTTCCGTTAACATATAATTAAAAAGAATTTAATTAGACTAGAATTCTCATTAATTAATTAGTATGGTCCACAATGGATCATGGACCCTTACTCTTAACCAAGCCTTTAATTCTATAAGGAATATGAAAAGTGGACATTTACTATTCAGATTCTAGTTAGGACTCCTGAATCTATATATAGGGAATTAGAAAGCATTTAAGAAACCCTACCACAATTAATCCTACCACGCGGGATATTCCCCGAGGAACCTAGCAAAGGAATTCCCCGCCACCAAACTTGGAGGAATACATTGGAGAGAGATCTTAGAGAAGAACCTTAGTAGCCAGGGATATTGATTAGGGCTAAGATGTAACCCATGTCTTACAAAACCTATTTTTCTTGCTATATCTTGATTATTGGCTCCTTTGATATGTGATTCTGTAATTGAGTCATGATAGAGCCTTGCCTAGGGTTTATGTTGTGTTTATTTGATAATTTTGATGATCTTGATGTTGTGATTGATTATATGTGTGATCTTGTATTTAATTATGTATAGAGCTTGTCCCTAGGGTTTGTATCATGAATCTCGTTGTTGTGATGTTCTTGTTATATTTGGGTGGGATTATGCATGATCGGGTGTTGAGTCTAGCCTAGGACTTGTATTTAGGACTTTGCATAAAGATTTCTTGATGTTCTTGTGGTTCCGGATGCTCCTGAACCGTTATGTGATTGATGTGGAGTCTTGGCATGTTTAGGAATCGTGTTAGAACGTATTTGGAATGATTCTTGCTTTAATCTTCGTTAATTGAATCCATGATATTGTTGTTGTGTGTTGGAATGTGTCTGGACATGGTTTTGGGTTCCACGAGAGATCCCGGGACCGAAAAGTTGCTTGTGTATCAGTGGGGGGTAGGTGGGGGGATGAACACCCGCCACCTACCTACTGCCCCGTTGCCCCCTTTCCAGCGGGCAGCAGGCGTGTAGACGACTGCACGCCGGGCACCCGCTGGAACTGTAGGTCGCCGCCGGCGGGTGGTCCTCCACCCGGCGCCCACCCGCTGGAAATTGATGATGGGTCGTGATATTTTTCCCCGTGTCCCATTGTACCCCGTTTGTCGTGTATGAGTCTCGTATGATGTTTTGTGTACCGTTCTAGGAATGTATGTGTAGTGCGTGTCGTTGTTGTTATGTCTTGATTGTTATTGATTGTGTATGTTGATTGATTGGATGATGATGAGTATTGTGGTCATTGTGCAATGACCGGTGTGACTAATGATGATGATGATGAGATTGTGATTGGTGGAAATGAATTATTGGCGGATGGCACAACGAGTGCCCGGTCATTGTACTAAAGGTACAGGCCTAGCGGTTACTGTGCTAAAGGCACAAACCCACCTTCGACTTGCTTGCCTTGAGCATGGGTCAGGTTATAAGTGTTGCGGTGCCATGTCGAGGTTATATGCGTTGACCCCTTGGTATTGGTACTAGAAGTACGGATCATGCGAATGGCACTGTGGCTCTATCATGATATGAGGTGGTTGATAGGTGGTTTGTCGGTGGGGGCATGTAGTTGCCCGGAGGAATAAGGGAGGCGATATAAGGGTGGCCTGGAGGTACAGGTTGGAACTGATATAAGGACAGAGTATGGCTTGATGATTACCTGCTCATTGGTTGACTTAAATTCTTTGTTGTCTCTACTTGCTATTTATATGCTTATCTGTCTATTATGCCTTGTATCGTATTCTTATGATGCATGCTAGTCTTTATGATTGTTCTATGATGTCAAGTCTGTTGTTGTGTCTTGAGTCTTGATCTTGGATTTAAATTAGTGTCTCATAAGTATATATGTATTCCAGTTTCAAAATGATTTCTTATATCTACCTATATTGTACTTAACGCGTTAGAGTGAGTTACCAGCATTGTTCGCTGACGGTTGTTACACCGCATGTTTTTCAGGTACAGATTAGTAGCTTAGAGTGCGCTAGTTGGATTCTCGGATCTACTCTGGATAGTCTTAGATTCAGTTAGACGGCCTGCGAGCCTTGATTTGTACTCAATTATGGATTTATGGATTTATGTTTAGATAAGTTAGTTTAGCATGTGCATATAAGTTTTCCAGCTTTGATGTGGCATAGCACCCTGACTATTATGTTTCGTTTATGCTCTGTTTGGGATTTAACAATAGATTTGCCTTTATTTCATAAAGCTTAAAAGTTTTAAAAATTAGGGGTGTTACACTATGCACTCATTGGTATTGTGTGGTTATGCAAATTCCATATGGACTCAATCCAACCTTCCACTCCCCAATATTGTGACAAATATTTTTCATGAATGGTTTAGTGCAATCTTGAATGTTCTAGACACTAATGGAATTATGTATGCAGCTGCAATTTTATATCATATTTGGAGAGCACGGAACGGAGTTGTGTGGGATGCCTGTTTACCAATGCCAAGAAAAATACTTGCAACTGCTACGACAACGATGGAGGCGTGGCGACGTATCCACCACCATACCACCGTTTGTGCGGCGGCCGATCACAGTACCGGTGCAACCCCTGCTGCTATCCAAGCGTCGTCCGACCACAACGCCGATGTCGCTCCTCCCGCCGAACAGATGCCGCCTACACTGCCACTGCCATCCAATCAGCTCCACGGCACAACAACAACGCCGAGGAAATGCTATGTGGATGCTAGATTTCAGCATGGAACGAACTTGGCTACGGTCGGAGCGGTACTCCTCAACGCCGACAATCAGTATATATCGGCTTTCAGCGCTCCCCTTCCAAATTGTATTTCCCACTTATGGCCAAGTCATTTGCATGTAAAGAGGCCTTTTCTTGGCTAAAAGATCGTGGAGAACAGTCTATATAGCTTTTCACGGATTGTCAGACGCTGCAATACTACCTATCCGCACCAGATACCACAACTCGATCATATATTGGTTATGTTATTGATAGTTGCAAAACTTGCATCTCTGCTTTTATTTTCTGCTCAGTTTTATTTGTACCTAGATTACAAAATCTATTAGCGCAAACGTTATCTTCTATTGCTTTTGAGCTTACTATACCTATGTATTGGGACGCTGTCCCACCTAATTCTATTTCAACTCTTCTATAAATACAACCACATTGGTTGACCTTCAATATATATATATATATATATATATATAAAATAAGTGTGGATGAAGGTTATACCCTTCATTTATGCCCGTTTTTTTCGTTAAGTTTTATGATACATTATGCTATAAATGTTGTACTATACAATATTTTAGACAAACATACCCCTACCGTTATAACTTCCGTTATCTTTTCCACTATTGCTACTATGCATCCACCATATATTTTCTTATTATCAATAATAATAATAATAATAATAATAATAATAATAATAATAATAATAATAATAATAATAATAATAATAATAATAATAACAATAATAATAATAATATACACATTATATATTGGGGTTATATGTTAGTTATTTCTTAAAATATAAATTTTAAATTTATAGAAATGTTTTTTTATTATTATTATTATTATTATTATTATTATTATTATTATTATTATTATTATTATTTACAATAATTTAAATATCTAAAATTTAAATAAATTTAAAATTTTAATATAAAATATTAATATTGGGCACCTATTTTTTGCGCATCGCGCATAAGAAATACTAGTGTGTGTGTGTATAGTCTATGGGCCTTTGGCAGGGGCCCAGCCTGCCCATGCCCTTGGGCCGGCCCTGTGTAACAACCCAAAATTTCATTTTATAAATCCAGTATTAAGAAATTTCAAAATAGCTTTTTCACTCCATTAAAAATTCTTGCGATCAATCGGTGTTTGAATAAAATAATTTTGTTCCATTTTAAAATTAATTCGACACCGAAGAAATGAATTTCATTCAAAAATTCCAAAGTTTTCGGGTTCTTCGCGTACTAAGATTTAAATCGAGAATTTTAACCGAGTGAGACCGGGAGAATTCAAAAGGGAATTTTGAACAAGTGTTCATCCTTATAACTTTTGGGAAAATTCACTTTCAACCCCAAAGTAATAAAAGATAGCATTTC